GCTGCAGCTGGGAGGCTACAAAAGAGCCGCTGCCCTCCCGCCCTGGCCCTGGCCCCAGGCAGGCAGCAGGTGCCAGGGCCGGAAGGCAGCAGCTGTTTGTACCGGCCCCAGCTCTGGCTAGCTGCTGATAGCCGCAGAGCTTGGGCTGCTCCCAGCAGGGGTTGCAGCATCCCAGCTGCCTGCTGGGAGCAGCCTGGGCTCCCAGCTGGCAGCAGCTACTGCTACCCAGAGCTGGGGCTGGCTGCAGGCGGGAGGCTGCTAACAGCTTCTGCCTCCCAGGTCCCAACACATGCCGAAGAAAATGGCCTCGCGTACCATGCTCGGCATGTGTGCCAGGGGCTGCCAACCCCTGGTATAGGCTCTTAGTCCCGCAAATCAAAGTCTAGCCTATGGCAGCTCACCCCTTCAAGGAAGAGGGCTGAACTGTCACTGCTTAATTAGCTTTTGCTAAAAGCATGCACCACAGCCTGTTCCCACTGAGCAGCTGTCAGGTATTAAGTCTGCTCTCTCTACCTCACAGTAACTTGTTTATGTGCCCAGTGCCTTTACCTGTTGTTTAAGTTAAGATGTTTCCATCACTGAAGTAGTTTCTAGAATCAGAGTCCCATGCATCCCAGAATTAGTGTTCTTAGCAGCTGTAGAATTCTATTTTGCCTTCAAAAAGTACGTAAAACTAGCCTTTAGCTTTCCCAGAGTCAAAAAGCAATGCCCCCCCCCAACCACCACCCATGCTCATCTGGCAGAAAGAGTTAACTAGAAAAGTTCTCAGATTAAAAGAGATCTTTGATATACTAATTACAAGTTGATGGGGTGGTTAGAAACATGATGAATTTTCATTTTAGAATGTTCATATCCTAGTATGACTGGTTTACTTCATTTTCCTCTTCTAATATTAGTCCATGTTTGACTTTCTATCTCAGATATGCTTTTTGACAAGCCTGAACCTTCCTGGTGTTAAGTCAAGCACAAATATACTTATCAGAATTCCTAGGGCAGTGTTTCTCAACCTGTGGTTTGTGACCCAAAAAAGTGTGTCGCAAGAATATATGAAAGAGTCGCAAACAAACTTTAACAATGGATCAAAATATGGATTCTGCTTTGAAGGAGAAAAATGTGGGAAACCATGCTTTTCCCTTGCAGGCTGTCAGAGTTCCAGCCTGCAAGGAGCTGCTTGCCCCTCTTCGCCCCTCCACACTGGGGGGCTGGGACTGGGGGGCACTGGGTCAGGAGTGAGGGGCACTGGGTCAGGACTGGCCATCAATGTTTACAAATGGGTCCTGGTACCAAAAAGGTTGAGAACCACTGTCCTAGGGTACAACTCCATAGCATTGCAATAAAAACAAACTGAAATTGGAGTTGTCTTCCAAAACAATACTAAAAACTTGGAAAAGTTTCACACCTTACATTTTTGATCCCATATTATTTCAAGCATTACATAAATTTGTTATACTATTGCCAACAAAGTACAGTTGGACATTGCTTATTTACATTTATTACTGGGAGGCCCTGTTGGAGTTTTTGGTCTTCCAATTAAGTGAATGTGGAAAACAAAGCATTATATCACAAAACACATTTTGCCATATGCTTTGGCTAATACTAAACAGGGTAATTCATATAATGGTGTAAATGTGCTACAATGTATTTTTTAAAGAAAAGTCATAGTCAGATGAGCCCCCACTACAGTAATTCAATAAAATGGAAAGCCACATTCTTACAGAGATTAAAATGTGGGGTTTAATGAAAGACCAGTTAACAAGGTTCAATCGTAATTATTCCACTGAAGAGAGGAAATTATTAAAAAAAAAAAACAAAAAACAAAAAAAAAATCCCCAAAATACCCAGCATTAAAACAAAGAGCTCCAATAACAGGATTTCATATAAAATGCAAAATATTCAAACATTTTTACATTAGTTTATGACCTTTACTAAATGGCACCAGAGGATTTCATACACTAAACATGGGGAAAAAGATCAACAATACTTCAACTCTTAAAAAAAAAAAATCCCCCCAAAAACACCCCCCCCGTAGTTAAGAAACAGATTTTCTGCCTTTGGACATGTTGCTAAAATAAAGTTGTAAATGTGTAATGAATACAACTGAAATTTAATCTATACATCTTCTGACTTGGTTAGAGTCAGTAACTAAGTAAAAAAAGATTTCCATATTCAAGTTATCTACAGATTATGTCTATATATAAAAAGGTGTGGATATATACATTTAATATATACACACACACAATCATACATATATACATGAACTGTTACTCTGTTATTTCCCCTCCTCACAGGTGGCCAGCAAAGACCATATACCACATTAGAACCTTTAAGGCTGCAACAGTGTATTGTAATGGGACAAAACACCAGCATTTGCCCTTGGATGGGGCAATATTGTTCCACTTCATGATCTATTATTACATTAACTAATTTTATGATACAATAACTTCAATAACTTAGAATTCATTGTATAAAAACAACTCCAGAAACATAACTCTGCCAGTTGAAGAATGCCCCCCTCCCCGACCAACCCACATTCACTAAATTACTAAATCACCAAACTAGGCCTTATCAGAAACTGCAACAAGTTTTTCAACCTTAATCTAAACCAACGTGCATCAAAACATTCTGGAGAGTTACATCCTTTGACTTCCTCATCTTTTCAATTGCCCTGTGTAGATCCTGCTGCTGTACTGGCCGAATCTCATCTTCATCATGGCTAGAAAAACATTCAAATGATTCAAATGTTACATAATGGAGCCAATTTACAGAGCCTAAAATAATCTTCAATTATAAAAAACAGGTAGCTAGTGCTAAATAGCAAATATATGGTTTATATCAATAGATGTAATTGACCTACCAGAGGTAGTGCAGAAAAAAAAAGTAAGGCCTGTTTCTTGCTGCAATATTCAACACTGCAGTACTGGAACACAGGGCATGTATCTAGGTCTATGCAAGCACAACAGCATGTGGGCTCCTCTGAAGTTACAATATTGCATTAGTAGGAAAGATTGTTCAAATAAGGAGCTGTTCCAATGGGAATGAAAACAAGTCAAGAGGAACCATAGGGTATGTCTACATTGATTCTACACCAAACACTAAGCCCCACCTTCCACACACCCAGCTTCCCCCACCCAGCAGGGCAGTTGGGAGGATATTCCATGGATAGTCACTGCTGCCACTCTTAACGTCTCTACTTCTGGTGTGTTCTGGTGCGACAGCAGCAGCAGGCAACCTCACTGGCACATTTCTGGGTGTGCAGCAGAGCAGGGCCTGAATTTTAGCAACACCCTCAAGACTAGCTGCTGTGCAGATGTATGAACACAAGCCCCCAAACCAGCACAGGGCCTGCCATGACAAGTGACAGGTCTGCTGGGGAAGGAGGTAGAAGGCATTTCACAAACTAAAAGTAGACTGTCTCTTACCATCACTTAGAACAGTGTAAACTGTACCCGTAGTTTCTGGCTTCTGCTGTTTATAGGGTGCTTGTACATACAACAAAACTGGCCTTTAAAGCAGCATAACTGCCCTTTTGCACTGCTTTAATGCATTGCTGTTTACACGTTCGGCGGTATATTTCACTTAAATTTTGTGACAACATACACGTTAAGCAGCGTACTCCACTTTAAATGACTGTTATGTAGCAAGGTAAAACCCATCCAAGGTATTTTAGTTTGCTACGTAACAAAAGTGCAATGGTGCACGGGGTGCTGGAAGCCCAGATGTTCTCAGGGAAGCTCGGGCTTGGCGGGCTACCAGCGCCCCGTGTACTGTCCCCGCCACCTTCTCCTGTTACCAACATACCCAGCTGCCCTCCTGCCACCTCACTGTTCTGCCCCAGGGGCAAGCCAGGCCATTCCCAGCTGGTCCCAGGCAACAGGAAGGCGGAAGGGACGGTGCACGGAGCGCTGGAGCTTACCTGCCTCTACCGAGGCCAGGGGCAAGCTGCTGGCATGCCAAGCAGCCCCTGAGCTGTGGGGGACCCTGGAACTTCCCTCCATGGTGGTGGCACCCCCAAGGCGGTACCTGCCCACTAATCACCTGGCCTGGGAGGCCCTGGCCAGTGTGGACAGAAGCACTGGGCCCCACACAGCTCAAGGACTGTGCGACACGGCAGCAGCTTGTGCAGGCAGGCTCCACTGGAAAAAAAAGAAAAATGCGGCAAGGAGCCTGATTTTTTTTCTTCCCGGAACCTGCCTGCCTGAGCTGTGCAGGGCCTGGTGCTTGCCTCCGCGGCTGCAGCGCCCCCTGGGACCACCTGGGTGGGCTGCTAGCAGATGGGTGCTACCTAGGGGGAACCACTGCCATGGAAGGAAGCACTGGGCCCTGAGTAGCTCAGGCAGGCAGACTCTGAGAGGAAAAAGATCAGGTTCCTCACCGCTTTTTTCTTTTTTCCACCTCCCTCAGTCAAGCCTGCCTGCATGAGCTGCTGCCGGGTTGCACAGCCCCTGAGCTGCGTGGGCCCAGTGCTTCTGTCCATGGTGGCAGCACCCCCGGGACCACCAGGCAGGCTGCTAATGGGTGGGTGCTGCTGCTGTGGAAGGAAGGACCCACCGCAGCTCAGGGATCATTTGGCCTGCCAGCAGCTCGCTTCCCCCCCACCCCCCAACAGGAGAGGCAGGTAAGTTCGGGGGGGGAAGAGGAGGGAAAGGATTGGGCCCCTCACCACTTTTTTTTTTCTGCTGGAGCCTGCGGTGGGGCAGGCGGAGGGAAGCGGGTAAGCTGACAGGGGGCGGTGACACTGAAATCTCTAAATTGAAATGGTGGGTTTTTAAACAACACAATTAAAAAACCCACCAATTAAAAACCCAGTTTCAATTTAGGGAGAACTAAACCCCTGTTGTGCGTACAAGCACCCATAAAGAATTAATTCTGACTAGATACAGCTTTTTTCTTTGTTCACGTTTCAGTAGAACTGTAAAATGTAGCACTCAAATCACCGTAGGAGTTCTGGTGAGTGCTACAGGCCAAAATAAGTTTGATGACAGTGATCTTATGGCAGAATCTATGAAGCACTGACAATACAATGCATGTTTCAATGTTTAAGGAGGGGAGAAAAACACAAAAAACCTCAACACAGTTCAAGGGGTATCTCAAGAAGAGACAACCACCTCATGGTCATTACATAAACAAGGCAAACCTGAAGACATGTAGCCTGACAATTATATTAAGGTCAGTAAAGTCACAGGCACATGAAAGTGTGTCCAAGATCTCAGCCTGACTCAGTGATACAGTCTACAAAGGCAAAGTTCAAGGCTGTCAACAATGCTCTTGGGTTAATCTTTTACCAGAATGTTACCCATAATATTTTCACCAATAACCTGATTAACTACAGAAGATGAAGTGATTTATTCATTGACCTTTCATTTAACAATGAGCATTACATTTTATCCAACTTGTTGATAGAAAGCAGTGGTTTCTTTTTCCCTGCACAAATTTTTGCTACCAAAAATAGAGCATCAAAGACAACCACTTGTTTACCGAACACCAAGCCCAAGGAGCTCTCAGCCTGGCTGCTGTGACACGAAAGATAAAAACACGTACCTTTCTTCACACGTGGAATTGACATATTCCCTGACACAAAAGAGTGCTGCATCCCGGCACATTTCCTTCAAATCACTCCCTGAAAAACCATCTGTTTCTTTAGCAATTTCTAGGAGGTCTACATGCCTGTCCACCTGCCATGAAACAGAGGCAAAAGCATGAGAACATGTAAGTCACTTAAGCTTTTCTACTAAAATATGAAAAAGCCACAGTTGGGGGTTAAGAACCCTTTCCAGATTTATATCAAGTTTTGCCTTTTTTAGGAACTAAAAGTAAATATGAAGAGCATATGTTGACATAAGGGAATTATCCCCTCCTCTTAGTTACGTGCAGGTAATAAGTAAAAATAAAGCTTCAATAGTAAAATTGGACAGCTGGTAAAAATTCACTCACAACCATTGGAAAGTACTTAATACATTTTGCTATATTTGTCTTTGTGTACAAATCTACAGTGCTGACAGCTGAAGAAGAATCACTTCCTGTGACATAAGCTTTATGAAAATCCTTAGAATTTCTCTCTGCTAGCAAAATACAGTATGTGAGAATGTGACTTGAAGAAGTCGCTGTAAATCAGCCTGTAACTACAACTCAGCATTCTGTGACTACCAGCTGATGCAATGAGTCAGACACAGAAAACGGGACGTGCACTCCAACACCAGTCCTTCCTTACAAGGGGCTGATTCCATAAGGTCTGAGGGGACTCAACTCCTCCTCTGTATAGAAAGTCAAAAATAAGAACTGGAAAAAGGCCTCTTAGTCAACATGTAAAAAAAATATTCCACACAAAAAAAAACAAAAAAAACCTGAACACACAGTCAACATAAGAGTTTATTTCTGAGACATTATTCAGAAGCGTACCCTTGGCTTTATGCAGTTTCATTTCAATATTCATTTTTGGGACGTGCACAGTACATTTGAAAAATATCCTTGGACATTCATATTGCTGTTAATCACCGTTTAAGGAAAGCCATAATTTTCATTGTACACAACGAGTTAATGAAAAACTACACACATCTGGCATATGGATAGGTTTCAAAAAAGATTAGAGGGGAAAAACAACTTGCTCACATATAAGTACCAAATAAAGGGCATGGCTCAGCAAAGAACCCAGGAGTATCCTCATTCCTTGCTGAAAGCTCCAATTGGGATCCAGAATTCCCCAATCAGAGATGCACCGATATTGTATCAGTCCATATTGTATCGGCACTGATAAAAGGAAAATTGACATTGGCAATCAGCATTTTTCAGCTGAGGTGGCCAATAATGTCGCAGACACATGTTGTGTGCATGTGCACAGCTGCAGCATGCATGCATCTAGCCTGGCAGCATGCATGCATCTAGCCTGGCAGCATGGAGAACAGTGCCCGGCTGGTAAGTCTGTTGGGGGCAGAGGGGAAGGGGTGGTGGGAGAGAAGGGGCATGGGGGGATGCAGATCAAGACCCCTGCAGTGAGGAAGGGAGTTCAGGGGCAGGTGCTGCCTAGCTGGGGTGGGGCATGGGACAGAACCATGAGAGACTCATGGGGAGGCAGGGGGCATGGGAAGAGGGTGTGGTTTCCGCTGCTGCATGCACCCCCGCAGGAGCCATGGGGGGCGTCTGCCCTCTGGATCTGTGTGCAGGGTAAAGGCGGGCTGCTGCTGTGGTCTGGGGCCTGGGGTGGTGCCAGGCTCTTCTTGGTCAGGGGGCTGCGCTCAGAGAGGAAGGCAGCGGTGCTAGGAGGGAGGGGTTGGCAGGGAGGCTACAGAGAATTCTGATGTGGCCACAACCCACCTCACAGCCCCCCTCCCAGCACTGCGGCTGTCTGCCCCAAACACAGCCCCGGCCCAGCCCACTGCCGGGAAGAGCCAGGCAGTGCCCTGGTCCCAGCCCACAGTCGCAGCCTGCCTTCACCCAGTGCACAGATCTGGGGGGCACCCATCTCCCATGGCTCCCACGGGGGTGCACACAGCGGCAGGATCCACCCCCTTCTCCCCATGCTCTATCTCCCTGTGCCCCACCCCAGCGGGGCAGCACCTGCCCCAGCCCTACCCCTTCCCCCCAACAGACTTACCAGCCAGATGTTGCTCTCCAAGCTGCCAGACCGCATATCAGCAATCAGATTGGTATTGGCTGATATAGCTCATTAATAAATCGGCCATCAGTACTGGCCCAAAAAATCTTTATTCGTGTACCCCTATCAACAATATTCTGCATCAGAAAACACTAGCATCCACAGGCCCATTAGTAAAACAAGTGGAAAGAACTGCAATTCTTCAGAGGAAATAAAGCTGCATGGCTTTAAGTAAGAAGAAGGTGGATGTTAATTTCTTATAAAGGGAAAATATCCAGCTATGTATAAAAGATTAACCTACACCAAGTAGGGGGACATCATTTGTAAGATTCCTTCCAGCTCTAACTTATGTAATTATATGGACTTCCTAAAACTAAACCTTTAAACAAGCACCACTGTCAGAATCTGTAGTCCAATAGCAAGCCAAGATTTCCTCTAAGATTATTTTATTTTGATGCTTTAACTTTTAAATATAGATTTTGTTTGTTTTCACAGGTAAAGCGCTTAAGTAATTTGCCAGAAACTCCCTAACATTGAAATAATTTTAAATGACAGCCTATGCAGCAAGTTACCTTCTTCACAATCTCAGTCATTCTTAGGGATCAGCTCACACAAGACGGCAACTGAAGGAGATTATAAATCAGTTCTACTGCTAACATGTGTCTTATTGGTCAGGTCTCATCCTATGACAGTTATGAAAAATAGCCCCTCAGAGTTACCACTGTTGGCTCAAATTCCAGAAGTCTTCCATGGAAATGTAACTAGCTTAAATGGAGTATACATAGAAAGCCAGAAAAATCATGTCTTAAATTCTGCAAACAGCAATAGGGATAATATCACTGACATCCCAACTCTCTGGTTTCTCCTCCTCCTTTTATAGTCCAACCTGTGACTGACATTACTGGGACGGGATAAGAGGCATCCCCTTTTTACTCAGAGGCCAATCCTTCCAAAAAACAGCACTATCAAAATAAATGATGAATACTCCCAATTTAGCTGGAGAAAACCCCTGCAGCATCCAAAATCTTTGATGTCCCTTTCCTCCAAACACTTAATCAGTACTAATTTATTAGTCAAAATGCTTTCCAAAATGAATTAGTCACCACAATGTCGGAAGGCAGGTAAATCCCATCTTTGTACAGATGAGGAAATAGAGATTGAAAGATTAAGTAATTTGCCCAGACGCACTATGATTCACTCAGCAATCCTGAGACTAGAACACTAATTTCAAGCTTAACCACCATTTCAAGCTTAACCTGCTAAATAATTCCACTTCTCAAAACTGAAGTCACACCCAAAATGGATAACAGCCCCTGACAGTTTAGTGGCATGTTCTTGACTATAATCCATACCCAGGCCAAAGTCAGCTGATTCTAAAACATGTTTTCCAACCTCCTCTATTTGCCCACATAATGATATGAAAGAAAAATGAATCAATTAAAAAGAAAAACACACCAACTTACATTTTCATTTTTCAATATCAGTTTCAGGATGGCTTCTCGCTGTTTCAGAGCCTTTAAATAAAAAAGAGGTTTTGTGGGTTGTTACAGTAGAGAAATTGCTCTAACATAATGCTTTGCTTTAGCTGTTAAAAATGGCACTCAACTTGTACATACTTATTTTGTACTGCATGACCCCCAAGACATCTCTCAGGGTACAGACTGACCCCTGGCAATGGGAAATCAGTTTCTTTAGCATGTATGCTACTTGATGGACCCAGAGTATTATTAGTTTCACATGTTTACAGCAATTAAAGAAAAGAGAAGAAACTGACAAATACTTCAGCATGAGGCTAGTTTAGGGCAGACAGACCTACGCAGCTACTGTGGAGTTCTCTGTACCATGCATCTGCCCTAACAAAGAGCAGATGCTCAACGTGTAAACAAGATATTATTTATTACATATTTTGTCAGTCACATAAACAATGGGACTGCTGCAAGTGTTGTTTTCTTAAGTCGCAAGCTCATTCTGAAGATCTTGCTTGGGAAATTTAGACTATATTAATCAGGCACTGCAAGAAGGTTAACAAAAAGGGGTTAAGCAGTTAGCATACCCTCATAGGCCACATCCACATGGACATATGTCTCTCTGGGGACAAGAAGCAGCGGCACACCTTGTGCCACTGCTACTTGTCCCCGGGAACGCCTATTGCACGTGTCCTCTGGGTGGGATAATGGAGACTGCAGCCAGGACTGGGCTGGCCACAGCAGCCATACCTGGAGTTCTGGGGGCCTCCTGGGGCTGCAGCAGTGGAGATCCTGCTGCTTGGAGCCTGGCCGGTAGCTGAAGCATGACTCTGGCTGGCCAGGCTCTGGGTTTGGGTGGTACACGCTGCCCCCACATAGTTCGCTTTCTTTTTTCTTGCAAGTGTTTTTTGACCCCAGGATCTCCTGGGGTCACCCCCCACACCCCATGCTGCTATTTTGCAGTGCAGAGAACACCTGAATGTACACTATGTGGCGCTGCAAACACATCTGCAGTGCCACGTACCACACAGTCACACTTGTCTAGACATGGCCATAGGGACTAAGATTGTAAGGCAGAGCCATTAGACAAACCTGGCTCTGCCAAGGAACAGGTCATTCAGATTCACTTCCATTCATCAAGAATCATTTGATTAAATGCAAATACTGTACAGATTAATAGTTTACTCACTGCCTCAAAAAAATTCTGGCTAGCTTTTCCTCCGGCCCTTTAAAGAACTCTGGCTTATTTGAAGTAGCTGGTTCACAGCTCCCAATCCTACTCAGTTTTTATTTTAAGTTACAGTAGAGAAAAATAATTACATAGTAACTACAGTGCTCTAAGTTGCCAGGTATAATAGCCATGAAGTCTGCATAACTGATCCATCTGGATGGCCCTTAAGTTAAGAACAGAAGAACTTCTGTACTGGGTCAGACCAAATGGCCGTGCAACCTCGAGGAATACCATCTGACAGTGGCAAGGAGTGGATACAGTGGCAGTGAAGATTAGATCAGGATGAGCTAATAACTTCCCGAGAACTGAAAAGTGTATACACATTTGTGTATATATATATATATATATATTGATGCACCTGCAGGCAACTTGAACCTCCTTTTCCCTTGGTGCAAGTGAACAGTGTCCAATCAGAATGCCCAAGTGTGCACAAACTCTATTCCTTTAGGCTGAATGCAAGAAATATATTAGGAAGTTCTTGTTGGCACAAAGTTGGTTCTATGTGAAGTGTGTAGGACTCATGTTCACATGGGAAATTTCACATTAAAAGTGAAATTATCAGTACTTCTAAAAAAAAAATCCTCTCAAGCTCATTTTGCTACCCAGGCAAATACAGGTTTCTTGGCTAGTAGGTGCCCCCATACCACAAACTCTTTGGGCAAACAACCCTTAATTGTATGCATTGTGGGATAACTTACAGGTTGGTTGATGTGGAACCTTGTAGGCATTCTTCTCATAATGGCAGAATCAAGATCCTGAGGGCGATTGGTAGCTCCCATCACTATCACCTATACAGAGAAAGCCAGAAATAATTAAATCAGCACAAGGAAATTATCATAGACTGTGTGTATGGAGGATGGGGGGTGGGTTGGTGGGGGAAGAGGGGAGAGCAGTGTCACAAAATACATGGATATTTGTTCTACCCTTCCATCAAGCAAGCCAACATCATTCATTTTAACAGCAGGATTTAAATAGGCATGAAAATATTTTAAACGGCTGTAGGTTTCAAGATTTCAAGGTTGAAAGTTCAAGCAATTCAAATAAACAGGCAGTAACAAAAAACCCTACTTTTATAGGTGTTGGTGCATTTGTTTAGTTCATACTGGACAAGTTTTCTCCAGAACTGAATGAAGTAAGGCATTTAAGAAGAGCTTTTTTCTTCTCTGAATTCTAAGACTATGAATCCAACATCTCATGTAAGCACTAATTTCACAAAAAAGCAATAATCTTAAAAAAAATAAATAAATAAAAAAAAAAAAAAAAATCAAATACCTAAAAACCCCAAAAGGTACTTCTACTGTGGTATTATTGTTTGAATCCAAAATCATGAAAAGCTTTAGAGAAATATCATATACTCTAATAACTGTATAAATAACATTTAAAAATGTTGTTCAAGAACAGTATTGAACATGACAGACAACACCTCAAATGCAAACTCAAAAGAAAGTTTGCCCCCAGCCCATATCCATATCTTTTTCTCGCTTGCTATTGTAAACCACAGGTATTGTACATGCTCAGTCACAAAAACATGAATGTCAAATAGTTAATACTACATAATTCTGGACTCCTGAAAAATTCTGCTGTTCTTGCTTATCTTTTGACTTGGATCATTACCCACAATGAGCCATGGTAGGTTGAGCACTATGCATCAGAACCAATGGTGCCTTCACTTGTTTAGAGTAATGCTGCCACCTGGAGGCTCAAAATTACTATTACACAAAATGATGGGAGAGTAGACATTTAGAGTGCTTGCAGACATAACCCCCACACCTCAAAAAAGGGCACTTTAAATTCAGTTCCCACACCAAGCCCTACACTTGCCCAGAAGGGATAGTGCATTACTTCAACCCGGCTTGCCCAACATCTCTAAAGATCAGGCGCTTTAGTGGGGCTTTTTGGGCACTTTTATCTAACAGCTGATTGAATCAGTTTTAGCTAAAAGCACCAAAAAGCCCTGCTGAAGCACTCAATCTTTAAAGATGCTGTAGAGCCGGGATGCAGTAACACACTGCTGCTCCTAGTAAAGCTCTTTTAAAAAAAAAAATAAACATCTGCAAAGAGCCCTTAAGCTGCTTCATATTTAACAAGGATGTTGGTCTTTTCTACCTTGGAGAAATCATAACAGCAGCAGACTCTCCCAATGCCTGAAAACGGGTGGTTTGTGCCTGAAAACTTGCAAAAATCTTTTTTCCAACTATTAGTTGGTTTAATAAAAGTTCGCACATCTACCCAAAGAACCTTGCCTCATTTTTAACAAAACATTTCACATCAGTGGTCAGCAACAGAATGACCCATCTCAGGTCTGAAGCAGGCTGGCGCTAAGACCTAGCTGCCACTGCTGCATCTCCCAGTCCCAGCATGGCGCAGGTGAAGCCCTGGGGCTCTTTCTTCAGGCCAGATCCAATAGTTCTGTGAACCTGTTCTGCATTGAGAGCCCATTTAATCAGAGCAACAACCTTTATTACAGCACAGAAGTACTTTCAAAACTGGTCTGCCTGTGGCACAAGCCTTGGAGATGGGTGAAAAAAATGGCTTTAAGTTGCATTCATGTTCCCTTGATCCTTTCATAGCTTTCATAGACATCAGGGCTGGAAGGGACCTCGGAAGATCGAGTCCAGTCCCCCGCCCAAAGGGCAGGAAGTCAGCTGGGGTCATAGGATCCCAGCAAGATAAGCATCCAGTTTCATCTTGAAGGTGTTCAATGAAGGCGCTTGAACCACCTCCGGTGGCAGGCTGTTCCAGACCTTGGGGGCTCGGACAGTAAAGAAGTTCTTCCTTATGTCCAGCCTGAAACGATCTTGAAGCAGTTTGTGACCATTCGACCTCGTCATCCCTTGGGGCGCTCTGGTGAACAAACGTTCCCCCAGATGCTGGTGGTCACCCCTGATAAACTTGTATGTAGGTGGCCATCAGATCACCCCTGAGCCTGCGCTTTTTCAGGCTAAAGAGCCCCAGGGCTCTCAGCCTGTCATCGTAGGGTCTGCTTCCCTGACCTCTGATCATGCGCATGGCTCTTCTCTGGACTCTCTCAAGCTTCTCCACATCCTTTTTGAATTGTGGAGCCCAAAACTGGACACAGTACTCCAGCTGCGGCCTCACTAAGGCCGAGTACAGGGGGAGAATGACGTCCTGGGATTTGCTTGAGAAGCATCTATGGATGCAAGCCAGCGTTTTGGTCGCTTTACTAGCCGCCGCATCGCATTGCAGGCTCATGTTCATCTTGTGGTCAGTGATGACCCCCAAGTCTCTTTCTTCCATAGTGCTAGCCAACATAGCACTGCCGAGCCTATAAGGATGCTGCGGGTTTTTTTTCCCAAGGTGGAGAACCTTGCATTTATCGGCGTTGAACACCATCAGATTCTCGTCCGCCCACTTGCTGAGCCTGTCCAGGTCAGCCTGGATAACCTGCCTGTCTTCTGGTGTGGATGCTTTGCCCCAAAGTTTGGTGTCATCGGCGAACTTGGCCAGTTCTGATCGCTTCTGACTCCAGTGTCCACATCATTAATGAAGATGTTGAACAGTATGGGTCCAAGGACAGAGCCTTGGGGGACCCCACTGGTCACAGGACACCACGATGAGTGACTTCCATCGATTACTACCCTCTGGGTCCGACCCCGGAGCCAATTTTCCAGCCAGTGGATCGTGGAGGACCCAAGGCGACAATTGGCCAGTTTCTCCAAGAGGCGATCATGGGACACCAGATCGAAGGCTTTTTTGAAGTCAAGATATATGACATCAATCTCTTCTCCCTTGTCCAGGTGATAGGTCACCTGGTCGTAGAAGGAAATGAGATTGGTCAAGCAAGACCTACCCGCAACAAACCCGTGCTGGCTATCCCTTAAGATGTTGGCGTCGGCCAGTCCATTAAGGATGGCCTCTTTAATAAACTTTTCTAAGATCTTCCCCGGGATAGAAGTCAGGCTGATGGGCCTATAGTTAGCCGGATCCACTTTCCTCCCTTTCTTGAAGATAGGCACCACATTGGCCTTCTTCCAGTCTTCGGGCACTACACCAGAGCGCCAAGAGTTTTCAAAGATCTGTGGTCAGTTGCCCCATCTGGTTCAGGAGGGGTCCAATGTTGCCCCTGCTTTTCCTCCAGCTCCCCACATATCTGAAAAAGGACTTCTTATTGCCCTTGATGCTCAAAGCTAGCTGGAGTTCAGTTGCAGCCTTGGCTTTCCTGGTCTGCTCCCTACAGGACCGGACCAGTGCAGAATAATCCTCCTTGGAGGTGACTCCCATCCTCCACCCTTTGTAGGCCTTTCTTTTTAGCCTCAGGAGATCTGCTAGGTCCCTGGAGAGCCAGGGGGGCTGCTGTGCTCTATCCGACATAATAGGGCCGATAGTGCTTCCACCTGAGTCCCCAGCTACGTGCGGGCGGCAGGGTGGAAGGCCAGCTCCACCTGGCCCCATAATGCACAGCTCCCACACTCCCGCCCCAGTCTCCAGCTGCAAGTGGCAGCAGTGTGTGGGACCAACCCCACCCAGCTCAACTGTGGCTCCTGCCCGAGTCCCTGGCAGCAGATACTGCTAAGTGCAGTGTTCGGCTCTCGTGCTCCCACCTGAGGCCCTGGCCACATGTGTTAGCAGCTTGCAGAGAAAGCCCAGGCCCATAGTGCACCCCACACTCCCAACCCCCTACCCCCAGCAGGAGTCCCTGGCCCCGGCCCGATGGGGCCCTCACCTGCATTTTCAGGCTCATGGAAACAGCCATGAGGAGGCCAGGCAGAGGCTTATCTCTAGTGCCTCCTAGCTCGGGCTGGGGCAGGTCAGGCCAGGCTGGGGTGGCTGCTTAGCACCCAGAGCTGCACCTCCTGCATGGAGGCACTGGCTTGCAGAGGGGCAGCAAGGGCCAGGGCTTACAGAGGGGCCCAGCAGGCTGGATGGAACTGCCTGGCAGGCTAGATCTGGCCAGCAGGCTGTATTTTGTCTGCCCCTGCTTTAAACCCATACAGATGGAACAAAACATGTCCAGTCACTTTTTAAGCAGTATTTTCTGTATGGAGCACCTCCCACAATGGTTCCGGCCAGTCTCTGATAAAAATCAGATAAGCCTGAAGTTTGATCTTACTTCTCTCTCTGTTCATGGTTCCTCATCCCTGCAAAAAAAAAAACTTAACACACAAAACCAAAACAAAAAACCTAAGAAAAACCCCTAACAACTCCACCATGACACTTCAGACTTTCTACTGAGTAGAATATTTTCCAGGTGCACTTCAGGCAGGGATCAAATTAAAATTCACACCACTGCATTGCCTGCCACATCCTATTGTTAAAGTTCCAAGTCTTTTTTAAATTTTCTTTTGAATTTTAAGAATTTTACAGCAGTAATAAAAGATAGTCCAGGATTCACAAGCAAACTAATACTATCAAGAAAACTTTTACAATAAATATTTTGAGAAATGTGTACTTGTCAATTCTCAAAAAAATACTAAAACAGTAACAAAATTATTTTGGAGATACCTCTTTAAAGATTTTTTTCTTAACAGTAATGAATTCTAACCAAACACATCCAATAACTGCATTTTCATAATATTGCTAGAGTTCTTCAATCAGTTTTTGTAGAGATTTCACTATAATAGTTTTCCCATCAGGCTAGGAATTATTAGTAAGGGACACAACCGTTTCTTCATATCTGTTACACCAGACTCAATAATAGATGTACAAGACCAGATTTATGTTTTACTGCAGCAAAAGTATGCTTTACTGGATTAGTTCCAAGAAGCTTTCACAGTTTTTAAAAAGGGAACACATTAAAGCAATGGTAAAAATCAGTGCTAAAGGGAAAACCAGGTTAAGCCATCTGAAATTCCAGCTTTGTATTGTGTAAATTTTGTTAGCATTAACATCCTACTGACATACTGGATTTACATAAGATTGATACATAAAATAACAGCCTGCACTTTTTGATTAATGTGGTGAAACATTAGTTATACCAATGCCAATTGTGTAAAAGATGTATGAGAAGTCATGTTTGACTGCAATTCTATGCGATTTAAAAAAAATCAAGTTACAAAAAGTGCAGCTAGAACAGCTATGAAAGAGCAAAGGAAGCTGGTAATAAGGAAAAGGAAAGTGGAACTGAAACATTATATGACTAAAAAATTAATCAACTACTAACCCTTTCTTTCACTTCCAGGATGCCCAATTAAATCCAGTCTGAGGTGACTGTTCAGTCCGTTGACTTTTTGATGGTCTATTAAAACAAGTATGCCCGCTTTTAACCAGTGAGCTTCTAAATCTAAAACTACCACTCCCCAAAATCTTGACAGTTCACAAAAAAGAAGACACAGGGAAATGAACTGCTCTTTCAACCTTACAATGAAGTTTCTTCAGGTCAAGTTTGAAAGACATTGGCAGGGTGAATGGGCTATCCTTCAGGTCAAGTTTGAAAGACATTGGCAGGGGGAATGGGCTAGATGCTCCCACACCAGTAGGCATCAGTCCTAGACTAAGCAGATCACTTCTGTCTCTCATGAATACTATCAACCTTTTTTGACATCTGATATTACTACTAAAGTTAGATGACAAAAACTGGGCTTGAATACATAAAACAGAGATTGCCAGCATTTCCCCTTTGATAATGGTGGCGTCCTGTACTTTCAGAATAGCTCATTAGGTATAAATGATTTTGCTTTCTGTGGGAAGAGTAGAAGGGGCTGGTAAAGGGTGTATGTCAAGACTTTTCAGTAAATCTGGATTATTACAGAAATCTTTCAGTTAAGTTCCTGGGGTCTGAGATTCACCTGGCTTGAAAAAAGTCATCAAGTGATTGTTTCATATTGCTCACATTGTAAATGTAGCCATCTCGTCTTGCATTTGCATTATCAAAAAATACTGAAAAGAAACATTTTTTTAGAAAGCTTTTCAAATGGTCAGCATACGTAAGGAGTTTTCTGAAACATGAATTAATTAATTATTAATGCGAACTTTTGTCCCAATGGTATCCAGTAACAAAACTAGGTAGAATAATGCTTTTGGCAGCTACTATGTTCAATACTATGTCCCTTAAAGTGAGGAAAAACACAGATTTCTATGAAAGAATTATAGAAGTTATCAGCTTAAATCTTTTCACTTACTTGGCAATTGTAGTCAGTGTCCAGACCATCCCAAAGGCTCATGAACTGAGCTTTCATCATAGCTGTAGCTTCATGGTCAGAACTTGAGCGATTTCGTAGGAAGGAATCTATATGAAAAAGATTCAATGAACATAGTTCACCATATATGCAACTGTACCAACCATATAGTATTTTATCTCTCTGGCACAAACTTTTAAAATAATAAAAACAGAAAAATATAGTTGGTACCAAGAAGACAAAAGCTCAACACCGCTGAAAGGAGGAAAAAAGTCAGATGTTGAAGAAAACCTAGAGGAGAAAAAAACCCTACCTTCTCCAACTTAGTACTCTTCAGTACATTACATGACATTTCTTATCTATAACTGGGTGAACTAGCTCTGAATTTTCTTATTCTTAGTTATGTAAAAAATAAACATTCATCTTTGCTCCCCATGCAGTATACTGAAATGCTTTCACTCAGATTCCAACAAGCTCAGAAGTTTACAAAGAGAGCTAAACCAATGTCACTGCATGTTGAATCTATGTGAATTCAAAGTCATGCAGAACTCCAACCCTATGAGTCATCTCCAGAAGAAGAGTCCTTCAAAAAAATAAATACATAAAAAATACAGACATCTCTGGAAAAAGTGACTATAAGCAGCATGAAGTAGCTTTACTGTATCTTCACAGTGAATTGTTTTCCTCCAAGGCCCATGAGTTATTGTAATATATGCTTGAAGGAAGAGAATAAGCAATTTTAACTGCAGTGTTATTTTCTCATTAATCTTGGATTTATATCTTGCAAGTTAGTAATCCCAAAATTGTCTTCACTGCTTTCTCTAAAATAAGGATTTTTCACCACTATAAAGTCTCTATTTTTTTCCTCTTTCATTCTTTTTTGTTTTATTACATCTATCTAGCCATTTCTTGTTTCCCCCAGTCCCCGTCCTCAACATTTATCAGGATGAGACCAACTTTAATTCAGATCTTCCAGCAATAGTCATGCACTTTCAGGGAAGCTTTTCCTCTCTAAATATGGGCTTCCTAAATGACAGTTAGTCTAAAGGAGGTGGAAAATTGGTGGCTCTTCTGCATCAATATATATTTTTTGATTTGACATTTATGCAAAAAAGAATCCAGAAACATGCAACTGCACAACTGTTGTTCAACACAGGTTATATTTCTTACTGCACTACCATCACCTTGGTAATAAATTAATATACCTATCTATTTTAAATTGGCACTTAATCTTTCCCTTCTATGACTATATATAGATATATTGTTTTACCTATTTCATCAATAAAAATGATCGATGGTTGGAGCTTTATAGCAAGGGAGAAGACTGCAGCAGCCAGTTTCTGTGACTCCCCATACCATTTGTCAGTCAGTGTTGAAGGCTGGAGATTAATGAATCGACAACCTGCTTCCTTTGCCGTAGCTTTGGCAATGAGAGTTTTACCACAACCTGGAGGACCGTACAGAAGTACTCCTGAAAAATAAAAGTATTAAGGTTTTATGGACACTGAAAGAAAGACTGATGTGATTAACTGATATTGTTATGTAAGAACTCACATTCTGCTGACTTGTGAGTACCACCAGTCTACTGAATGCCATCCACATGCTGGTAATGCAGCATTTTTGCTGCTTTATTAAATATAATTTTTAAATTATCAAATAGCTTTACTTAATTTTAATACTTAAAACAAATAGTTTTAAAAAGGAACAATCAACTTTAAAAGTCATGTTTTGTCTGAAAGTTCTGTGCCTACCTACTATAATTACCACTAAGGCTTAAGATTGCTGTGACTAAAATGAATGAAAAAGTCTGTTTGCTTTGTGGACTTGATAGAACTGGTTTATAGCCATTTTCTGCCCTGCTGAAAAGGTTTTTGAAAAACATTAGTAGGTAGGGATACCCATATAAAAACTATTAACAAAAAAACAATACTAACTAAAGCGTACTATTTGGCAGGTTTTTTTAAACTAGTCATACTCAATCCCATGTTAACAATTTAATAGAATGTATTCCTATTTTCATATCATCCACAGAATTGTATTTCACTTGAATAAAAATGCACATCATAACAAGGAACCAACGGAGAGGGATATTTATGAAGACATTCAAAGGTTTTGGCTGCTTGTTCATTTCTGGTGGATCGCTAACAAGAAGCTCAAGTAGTAAGCAATGTATTCTATAAAGTGATAAAAGCACCATTTAAGAACTGCATCTTAAATACCTTATTTTAAGAAAAATGAGCAAATTGAGGCCCATTATCATCAACAATCAACTAGTCTTTTTTGAAACACAGATATTAACTTTCTTCCTTTCTAAGTAATTATATTTTTAAGCCACACATATACCCCAAATGCTTACTTCCTACCTTTTGGTGGCTGCAGGAGTCTGGAATTCTCAAATAAATATTTCTTTTTGATGGGTAAGATGACTGTGTCCTTCAGATCTGTAATAACATCATCTAACCCTGCAATATCACTCCAGGTTACCTAATAAATAAAAACAGTATTAGAAGCAAAACTTTAAAGCTTACCACACAGTCACTGACAACAAATAATACTCAAATTTGTAAAAGTTTCAAAGGAAACTTAAAATGTAGTCATGATCAAATGTTGAACTTATGTCAATTTAATTATTTTTAAGCATAATTTAACAAGACAGTGTTAATACAGGTTACTTTCTCCAATACAGTCTAAATAATTTTAGGGTAAAGAGTTAATCCCCACTAGGATATATTCTGACATTACTTATAAACTCTAAACATTTCAAATTGCATTTTCATGAAAATATAATTCCTCATTGAAGAACAGGGTCATTAAAGTCAAAATCTATCAAAATCTTCCATGCATTACAAATGTTTAACTTCATTCTACAGACAAGGTTCCTTGGGTGAATTTGATATCTTTTATTAGACCAACCCAAATGGTTGGAGAATAGTTATTAAGCAAGCTTTCGGGTTCAAAAACCCTTCGTCAGGCTAAGGAAGCTTCAGCAGTTGGTGTGTGCTCTTCCTGGATGGAACCCTAAACCCCTGTAACTTCATTCTATGCATGTAAAAAGAACTATTTTTATTATAGGAATAATAGGGGAAATGAGCAGAGAATATAGTCTCTTACATGCATGCTAAGAGGGTCAACTAGATGTGCAGCAATACTCATTTCATATTCAGTAAGTTTGACATTTTTCACCCCGATTTGCTTCATTAGCTTTTCTGCCTAGAAAGAGAAAACAGTGGTATAAACAGAAGGAAGAGGAAGACAGTTAAACAGCTTAAAATCACTTTTTGAAACTCGCCATTTTGGGGTCTGGAAATTAGGAGACAAAAAGAGCCACTTTCACTAAGCCGTGTATTTGAACATGGCTCAAGTGAAAAGGCTTTACTATTTAATGACTCTTCAGTGACCCCCAAAGTTAATTCAGTCTCAATTCCCAGCAGACAAGTGTTACATTGAAAAACAACACGCTATAACATAAACTGAGTGAGATGCCAAAGACTGACAACAGATGAAGAGACCCCAACCCTGTCTCAGTTCAAAGAAGGACTGAGGCACACTAGTAGGTGATACAGATGCGCTGTTCCTTGCCCCTAAGGCCCCTGGAAGACGTTACACTTAAGATGTGATTAACTTGTTAATCGTGCCATAAATAGTGACCCAGCTACATGATCAGGTGATTGGTGAAGTGTAATATTTTTGTAGCTGGTTTCCAACAAGCCTTAAGTTGAAAATGTGGGGCAGGGTAGTCACACCATGCAGTCTTATGCCAGCTGCATGATGGGGCTTGGTTGACAGCTCTCCACCTATCAGCAGGCCGACAGCTGTGTGATGCAATCCTCCATGGGGCTGTACCCACTGTTTTCAAGTGTGAAGTGGAGGAGAGCTCATCCGCTATTTACCGTAGCTTTGGCAAATAAAAATACAGAGAAGCAAAAAGATTAATTCATTATCCTAAAACTACTCATTCTGCACTTGAAAAGCATAAAACAAAATCTCAACCAACATTAGCACTAACGTTGAGAAAGCTCCAGAAACTTCTAGTATTTTAAGTTTGCTGAGAAACTGCTTTAATAGTACACAAATAAAAATGTTGGGAGCTGCCAGTGCCTTGACTACCTGAGGACTCCTCCTGGTGCTACAACTTGCTTCGCTGAACCAATAAGAACTTTCCTGATAAAGATGCGTCTCTATGCTTGATACATTTCTAGAAATATTTATAAAGTTTTAGGCACAAAAACTGAAAAGTTCCCACTTCTCTCCGCTCCAGTGAATGACATCTTCATACAGTTAGTGATACCAGGCTATTAAATGGATGTCAAGACGACAGACAAAAAGATCAAAAGGCAGCTCAAAAAGTTAACTCTGATGTTACTGTAAGACTGCAAAAAATGGCTAAGAGGTACAATAATCATCTACACCTATATAATGCTACAACAGCACACAATTTTGTTAAATTTCACAAGTTGAACAGGATAGATTTGGCCTGCTCAAAACCTAGAATACTGCAGGAAGTAGTGTCTGATACAACAGAAGGCATTTCTCTTTCCAAATCAACATAACCACTGCCCTAGCACAGGACTTGAAGAAATCTGACTTTGGAATTATGTTTGGTTAAATAGAGAGGCAGAGGTTCAGATTTGTAATCAAAGAACCCACAAAAGGTGTTAGCCACATATCTGGGTCAAACCAATTAGGATATATATACTCAACCTACATTTATTCCATTTGCACCAAAGGTATTGTTATACATACTTAATACATGTTCTTGTTCGTTTTTAACCATTTTTATGCTGTGTACTAATCAAGAGGCTACACTTCCTTAACTGAGACCAGAAAAATATCAGATGGGGCAAGAGACCAGACAGTGCAAATAAATAAGTAGTCCCCATGAATATATACACAAGTCCTGGAAAGGAGAAAGATGACTGGCCCATAATAGGTGCTGCCCACAGAGGCAACTTGCAGATGCTATCTTTTTCCATACCTCTTAACAAGCAGCATATGTAGAGCTCCAACAGTAGCAAAAGGAAGGGAGGAGCCTTCTGTCTCTCTATCCCTTCCCAACAATGCTGAGTGCTGTAGGGAGGGGATAGCCTTCAGTTTTCTTTTCTTGGTTTTTCCTTTCCCCCAGAGCTGCAGAAGCAGCAGGGAATTTTATGCTGCAGCTACAAGGCTGATGAGTTATTTCTCCCTGCCACTTAGCAAAGCTGCTCACAGCAGAAAAGACACAGGCTCACTGCCCGACTCTGGAAATAATGCTACACTCTTTTCCATTAAGAAGGCTATTTTCACAACCACATGAACTAGAAGCTTTGTTTTACATTAAAACTTAAAAGCTGCTGATAGTGAAATGTCTGTCTTGCTTTCTACAGACTGGATTTTTTCAAAGTCCCAGCTTCAGTGACTGGTGAAACATATCTGTACGTATAAATGATTAAATGCAAGAGCTCATCTTTTCCAGAAGGAAGAAATACTTAAAAGTTGAACCATACCTGTTTCTGGGCTTCTACTTTTTGCTTCCTGGTTGGATCAATTGCATCTACCATCCACTTGATGGTAAAATACGTTACAGCACCAAATATCGTCAAACGGAAAATTAAACCAACAACTTCATTCCGACTCAGTGGGCGAGAAAAGGTTTCGGCATGTACCATCTTGAATACTAGTTAAAAAAAAAGTCAATGGGGGAGAGCTATTAAAATCTGAGAAAACACGCTCATTTCAAAACATCATTTAGAAATATCTGCTTTCTGTGCAATACTTTTTCATAAAGGTGTAAAAATCAGAATATGTCATAATTTCTTTATGGTAATGGCACAAGCCCCGAAAACTCAAAAGAAAAGGGTTAACAACTTAATGCTTGATATATTCAACATCTGTTGTTTCATTTCCACCTCTGTAAGGTAGAATACAAAAAGGCAACCACAATCTTTTGCAGCTTTGCTTCTGTGCTTTTAGTTCCTATATTCAAGAAGATGCTGAAGCATATCAGCTACACAATACTTTACCAAAGGGATACACTTCTTCACTTGTGAATTTACCCCATTCCCATTCAGGCCTGTTCCACTCATATGATTTACTGATCTCAAAAAAGCTGACTCATGAAGACAAAGTAAAAAAAACAAACAAAACAGAGGCTATTTCATGTCACTTCCTGTTATTTTGAATGTTTCTTATTATGGACCATTGTCCAATTGAGACGTGTTCCATATTTAGCCGTAGAAAGTTCAGTGTTAGTCTGCATCTAGAACAGTCTCTCAACATAGTCCTTTTGAGCTGTTACAGTCCCTGGAAGGCTGAAAATGCTGGCTTTGTGGCAGACAGCCATCAAAGGACTGGGGTTGACTTCCATCAAAGCCAAGATCGGAATTAAAGTTAAAATTAAGACAGTACAAGCTTGTGTTAGTCTTAAATTAAGTCAACACCTTACAAGACTAAATCTTTAAGGTGCTACCCTGCCCTGCCTTCCACTGATATGAAGTTACAGGCTGCATTTAGTAAGTGAAGAGGGGAAAAAAAAGAGAAAAGAAATACATTGGGATCTTCTTTCCCATCCCCAATCTATATACTGTGGAACTGGTTGGGACTCAAATTAAGAATCACAAGTGGTCTCACTCATCTTCTGTTTGCCTAATTTTGTGTGTGAAGTGTGAAGCAGTAAAATAATTACTTAGCAGCAGGAACTGCTTCTCCTCCAGGGCTGCCCTCCAAACAGCTGTCAGTCAGGAAAAGGTAGATAACTTATTGATGGTGTGCCATGGTTGTGTAGTGCCATGTCTATACTCATGTCAGACAACAGGGATGTATTCTGAAGATCTTGAATGCCAAACACAATGACTGAGCAGATAGGAATAAAAAAACTACAATTAAATGCCTAACATTGGCATTGGCTAAAATCTTTCTGTATTGATCCCTAAAGTAGACTGGTTTATTTTAAAGCCATTTCAATAACATCTCAAAGTATTTTTTTTTAAAAGTATGAGATAAAAGCTGGCTTTTTAAAGAGTACACATAACTAAATAGATTATATGTACAGTTTGCCCATTTTGTAAAATCTATTTTTCAGGAAAAAGGCAATAAAGATACTTGCCCAATACCAAAATACCATCAATAAAGTACTTATTTTACAAACTCAGAGGACAGTGAAGATCATTTACAATGAACGTTATGCATTGTAAAGCTTTTTTGTTGTTCAAACCACCTCTCCGTTACTTTTTAAAAAATGATTGGAAATCCTTGGTACATGAAAACAATGTTAGATGTTTTTTGTTGACAACTTGCTGATGACAGTTTAAAAAGGGAAATAAAGTTAAATTTGCCTGAACAAAGACTTCATTTTAATATCTTTTTAAAATACATAATTTTCTTGAAATTCTGCCTGCTTGCACATTATCACCTAAAACATACACAACCTGGCAGCTGCTTTGGTTTCTATTATTCTTCCATGACATGAGTACTTAACTTTCCCTCTTGTCAAAAAAAAAGTGGCTTTTAGATAAATGAGGAAGGACAAATGGCCCTCTCTCAGAAAGGTAAGCATGGATGATAGTTGATCAATCCTTACTCTGCAAGTTCTTTACCTTCCACTACCAATAACATCTTTGGCCGCATCCACACATGGCATGGACGTTTGGTTCCCCAGGGACAAGTAGTGTACCTTGTGCCACTGCTACTTGTCCCCAGGGAACACCCACGCCATGTGCGCTTTGGTTCATTGCAACTTACCCCAGGTGGGGTAGGGGAGGCTGGGGCCAGCACTGGGCTGACCCCAGCAGCCTTATCTGGGGTCCTCCCAGAGCTGCAGCAGCAGCGATTATGCTGCGCGGAGCCTGGCTGGCAGCTGCAGTGCTGCTCCGGCCAGCCCAGCTCCACTTTTGAATGGTGTGCTCTGCCTGTGTGTACGCACTCTGTTCTGATTTCTTTTTCTGTAGGTTTTTTTGGCCGCTGAAGTCAGGGGTAAAAAAAAATCCATGGGAAAAAAAATGGAGAAGCACACACACAGGCAATGGTCTCCTGCAGCACAAACATCTGAACGTGTGGTATGGGAAGCTGCAGACGTATTTGTGGTGCCACATACCACACGGCCATACTCATCTGGATGTGCCTGCTGTGACTTTCCCTAGCCCCAGATGCAGACACGTGCACCTTTGAGAGAGACTTCTGAGGTGCTCCCCTGCCCTCAGGGATGCCCTTTAACTCCAAACCTCTCTCTGCTTTCTGCTACTTGACCACTGAAAACAGACTGAAATGCTCCAAAGGTCATCTCCCTGACCTATGGTACCTCAAGCTTTACTTGCCTTACCTACCTCTTGGCGGCTTTTAGCAGAGGGGATTTTGCCAGCCACAAGAATCACACCCTCATCCAGTTATGCTCTCTGAAAAGATGGATCCTCTCCTTCTAGAGATGAGTTCTGCCTGTGTGGTCAAGTACTTACTATCAGAGTAAGTGTGATTTTGGGGTAAATTAAAAAGATAACAAAAAGATTTATAATAAAAAACAAGAGTAGACATAAGAAATCAGTGACCAAATGCTGAGATATAGATGGCAATATAAAAATAAACAAAAAAAAGTATCAGACCCGTCTTACCCTGCATCTTAAAGCCAAGAATGTGGTTTTTACTTGGCATGCTAACTGAGGGATGAAAGCCCCTTATCCTCAGGAAGCTTTAGGCAATTCTGGCTAGGCTTAAGTAATGATTTCTTATCTAGCCATTTACAATATACTTTATGCATAGTATGGATGATCTTCTTGCCATCCCAAAGGTGCATGTTTATCAAATTAACAAGTCTTTCCTGATCTAATTAAGACCAGGAGACTATGTGCATCCCTTTCAGACATCCCAAGGACATGTTTCTCACCTATTTTCCCTATTCTTAGAAATACCCTTCTTTGGATAGTCTGTTCCCAGGTAACATTACAACCACTCTCCCTACTTTTAAATCGTAAAAGGTCTGGAAGGGCTGAGTTCACGTGCCATTCAGTGCAGGTCTGTAAGGGTGATGAGTAAACAAAATCATGACAAATGCTAACTCTCAGTGGTTACTTCTCCCAAGTATAAACAGGTGAGGAACACAAAATTAATCACTGCCTTAACTAAACATTCCTGGCTAAAATAGGAAAATGTATCAAAATTACATTTATAGCAAATACCACATTTCATGCCAAAATCATAACAAGTGGGCTAAATCCATCTTGACACTATTCATATGTAAGAGACATACATGTCATATTAGTAAAATTAATTAAGAAAATACTCATGAGAACCTACAAACACCTTGAATTAAAGTGGGATTCCTGACAATCCTCCAAGGTGCCAAGCACTTTGGAACAGGACTCCTTTGGTTTCCTTTGTGTTGACCAGCGTACAACAAAGCTCCCAGCCATACCTGCAGTCCCAAGTTGTTAGCACAATACCAGTAATAAAGCTGGTAAATATCTCACCTCCCAATACCTTTTGTGTGTACAAAATGTCTGACCATCTCTTATACCATGGCTTAACATACTGTTGGATTGAATAAGGAAAGCTTGAATACCAGCAGTATTCACAGAAGCATACCTGCCCAGAAATACCATCATCACCTTTCTGACCAGCACAGAGAAATTACCAGATTATAGAAATCAAAACCTTCTGAACCACAGTAATGAAAAGCACTTGAATGTAGTCCCTGGCTATGCCAATCATTGAAGATGATTACAAGGCTCCATTATAAAGAGATATAAGACATAACAAAAAATATGCAGACAGCATATTTAATTTTTACATAAACAATAAGCTAAGAAAGCAGGTGGTTACTCCTGCTTCCAACTGTTACCATCAACAGCTTTGCATTTTTTGTTGTGGTGACTTTGTCTAGGAAAAAGACTCAAAGAACAGACTAAGGGCACTGAGGGGTCAGAGGATGGAAAGAACAGTTTAGGCAATGTTAACTCCTTTAACAACATCCAGCAACCTGAAAGGGTTATCCCAAATGCCCTTCCCCAGTGTCCATGACACTAAAGACTGTACTTAAATGGAAACACAAAAAGGGTAGTTATAGAACCACATAATGCCTTCCCATACAAAGAAGTCTTTCTTAACTACATCTCTTATCAAGCAACGAAAGGCACTGGTTTTCTACAACATTAAAGCTAATAACCAGTAAAACCAGTCTCCTTTGAAGAATATATCCATACATGTCCCCTTGGAAACATACACATTCTCTAAGCAGTTATCTTTACTATTCAAGCATAGATTTAATGTTGCTTAAAGTATTGGTAAAACGTAATGAAGAAATTATACTTCATAAAAATAACAGGGGATGAAACTGCTGAATTTAAGACCTAGTAGCTCAAGACATCACATTTTTCACTCAAGACTTCAAGGCATTTTTGAGGCCTCCTTTCCTGCCAATTTCAGCTTTCCATTTCCAGCCATTTTAGATCTGTTAAAAAAGAAACTGGAAGCCTAAGATTTTTTTTAATTGGTATTTTTCCTCTCCTCCTCCTCCTAGGCAAACCCCTGATACTAGTTTGACTCTAACAGTACACACACACACAAGACTATCAGCTAACCTCTGGCCTGCGATTAAACCTAACCTAGTTCATGAACTACTTCCATGGGACTGTACAGGAAAGACACTTGCCATGGCTGACAATGTTTCCAGCATCCTCAGCTTACTTG